ATATTGTTAAGACTTGGTGGTAGAGAGAGACACCCTGCCACATGTCACTGTTTACCCAACACTGCCTTTTGTAGCTTTGTAAGACCTTTACATTGTCTGCTCTCCCTTCATGCCCGGAGCAACAAAATTTAAATTCCCTTCCATAAAGTAAAATTGTATAAACTTTTCCAATAGAAATGGAGACTTTACTTCACGTTCTCTCGTAATACCAGGAACCGTAACGTGAATAATGTATGGAGTCAAACATTGGAAATGCATTGATCAATAAACCAACTGTGTTCACATGTGGCTGCCAAGTTCCATCTCGGCCACATATTACATGTTGTGTTAACAGGGTTGTTGATTTGTGGAATCAATTACCGCGTAACATAAAGAAGTGGGATCCCTTGATAGTTTCAAGTGTACCTTACCTTGAGGTTACCTTGAGGTGCTTCCGGGGCTTAGCGTCCCCGCGGCCCGGTCGTCGACCAGGCCTCCTGGTTGCTGGACTGATCAACCAGGCTGTTAGACGCGGCTGCTCGCAGCCTGACGTATGAGTCACAGCCTGGTTGATCAGGTATCCTTTGAAGTTGTTTATCCAGTTCTCTCTTGAACACTGTGAGGGGTCGGCCAGTTATGCCCCTTATGTGTAGTGGAAGCGTGTTGAACAGTCTCGGGCCTCTGATGTTGATAGTTCTCTCAGAGTACCTGTTGCACCTCTGCTTTTCAACGGGGGTATTCTGCACATTATGCCATGTCTTCTGGTCTCATGTGATGTTATTTCTGTGTGCAGGTTTGGGACCAGCCCCTCTACTATTTTCCACGTGTAATTATTATGTATCTCTCCCGCCTGCGCTCAAGGGAGTACAGATTTAGGCTCTTTAGTCGGTCCCAGTAATTTAGATGTTTTACTGAGTGGATTCTAGCAGTAAAGGATCTCTGCACGCTCTCCAGGTCAGCAATTTCTCCAGCTTTGAAAGGGGCTGTCATTGTGCAGCAGTACTCCACTCTAGAGAGCACAAGCGTTTTGAAAAGTATCATCATCGGTATAGCATCTCTAGTGTGAAAAGTTCTTGTTATCCAACCTGTCATTTTTCTTGCAGTTGTGACGGCTACTTTATTGTGTTCTTTAAAGGTAAGGTCTTCCGACATGAGTACACCCAGGTCCTTTACATTGCCTTTTCGTTCTATGTTATGATTTGTCTGAGTTTTGTACGTGGTTTCCCTTTTTATATTTTAAATTTTTCCGTAGTGCATGAGCTGGAACTTATCCTCGTTAAACACCATATTATTTTCTGTAGCCCATAGAAAGACATGATCTACATCTGATTGGAGGTTTGCCGTGTCCTCTATGTTGCCAACTCTCATGAAAATCCTAGTGTCATCTGCAAAGGATGATACAGTGCTATAGGTTGTGTTCTTGTCTATGTCCGATATGAGGATGAGAAAAAGTACTGGAGCAAGCACAGTACCCTGGGGGACTGAGCTTTTCACGGTTGATGGGCTGGATTTTATTTTGTTGACTTACACATTGGGTTCTGTTAGGAAATTGTGGATCCATCTGCCTATTTTCCCGGTAATTCGTTTTGAACGCATTTTATGTGCAATAACACCATGGTCACATTGTGTGACATGTAGGTTAGACATATATATGAATGAGATTGGGTGGATATAAATAGCAGCAGCCTCGTAGGGACCAATTGGTCTTCTGCAGTTACCTTCATTCTTATGTTTTATTTCCAAAAACAATAACATGATTAAACACACTGATATACAGTACTTGCTCTGATTTTTCGCAACGTTAATAAATTCTTATATCTTGCTCCTCACTGTTTTACTTTTTTCAGTTTTCAGTTTTTTTACTTCAGTCTAATGCCGAAAAAAGGGCGCCTCTCATTATAAGAGTTCAGTCATGTCTGATATGAGTGGCTGATAGTCGTCAGATTTCTGTTTGCTCCAGAAAACTTTCCATATCAATTAGGTGATTAGCATACGCACAAAAATCACAATAGCGTGATATGTCAAATATATCAATAAGATATATCAGATATATCAAGAGGGCCGTGATGAGGGTTCGAACCTACGTCCGGTTCAAACCCTCATTACGACCCTTGTGGATTTGTTCATGATTATCATACTTTGCCATGAACGGTCATAGTGAGAACCGAACGCAACGCCAAAGTTTTCAATCTGAAAATCTCGGTTTCTATTTCTTCTTTTTATCCACCTAACTGCTTATTTTTAATATCTCGGTTAGGGCCTAAATGATACTGGTTTCAAATTTGGACTGAGTAAATCTAAATTGCCCCCCCCCCCCCCACGGCAATATTTTCGAAAGGCGTCTAAGGTCTGTACCATAACAATAGCTTATTAAATAAACATTTTTAAATACAATCCATTCGGCTAAAGGAAGGCTTTAACTTGGTTTTAATTTTATTGAAATTGAATAATATATAGTTTGAACAAATATTCGCCGTTTTGGAAAATGGCGTCTACCAGACAATAATATAACCAAAATTAGTGTACCAGATTTATTTTGGAAAAGCATGCAAGGTATGCTGGCGCCTCTTTGACCCTGAAACAAAACACTAAAGTCAATTTCACTGTACATAGAAATTTTTACAGGACTCTGCGGACGCCGGACTAGTTCTCTTGGTTTACACAACGTAAATAATACAAAGTCGTAACCTTAACCAGACATTTACGAACCTAAGCAACCCACCTAACCTAGAGAGTTCGTTACACAGAAAAAGATATTTGTGAGCCGTTACCTTTTAATGTAAGATGCATTAGTAACGTTGGCTACGATCTATTAGTGGAGAGGATGGGTTAGTCCAGTCCTCTACCCTCCTACTGTCGGTAGAGGACCACATGCACGCGATGAGTCACAATAACGTGGCTGAATTATGTTGACCAGACCACACGCTAGAAAGTGAAGGGACGACGACGTTTCGGTCCGTCTTGGACCATTCTCAAGTCGATAGAGGACCACTGTAACCCACCCTGGAGACACCCATTCTCTCGCCTTCCTGTGTACCATTTCCCATGGGGCGCCGTACCCCCACCTGCGAGGGTCACAAGGTCACATGACGTTGTATCTGGACGGGGTTCTGGGAGTTTCAGTGGTAAGGATTGTGATGTTGTATACCTTGATTTTAGCAAAACTTTTGATACAGTGCCACATGAAAGACTGATTAAAAAAATAGATGCTCATGGTATTGGGGGTGCTATATTAAGTTGGATTAGGGCATGACTATACCAAAGGAAACAGAGTTAGCGTAAATGGGGTTGTCAGACTGGGAAAATGTTGTAAGTGGAGTGCCTCAAGGCTCTGTCCTGGGATCTCTGTTATTTAATATATATAATTTAAATGATCTAAATTAAGGTTTGAGCAGCAATATTTGCAAATTTGCCGATGACACAAAAATCGGGAGGGAAATAAACACGGAAAAAGATTGGATGGTTATAAATAGGAGCTGCCTCGTATGGGCCAATAGGCCTTCTGCAGTTACCTTTGTTCTTGTGTTCGTATGTGTTGTCTTTAATGTGAAAGTCTGGATAGCTGACGTCATAGTGTGATTTGAGTGTTTTGTCATTAGTCTTGCAAGTTAATAAGTACTATTTCTCTGAGGTTTAAATAAAATAGCCTTGCTGCTTGTAGGAGAAAAAGTTTCTTGGCGTGAGAGAGTTGAGATTTTTTATCGACACAAGTGTGTACTGGAACAGACGACTGCTGACAACCGGTCGGCGAGCTGAGAGAGCCCCTTTTCCGTAGCTCATGGGAAAGCCTTACCCACTAGTTTCCCTGGAATATGACCTGCCAATCATTTAACCCGTGTACCTAATCCCTACTGGGGTGAACGTCGACTTACAATTAAGGATTGGCGCCGGGTCATACTTCCCGGCCATGACACGAACCTTTGCCAAATCGCTCAGGAAGCGCGGGGGATGTTATCACTCTGTCCAGGACTTATTTGCTCTCGAAATGATATCCGTACATTGTCTTACCGTGAGAAACTTGAAGTGGGAGCTGATGGTGGCTGTTAGTAACACAAGTCAAGCCTAGCCTCGGACCGGGCTTGGAGTAGAAGTCCTCTCAGAACCCCATCAAGCAGGTATCCCTGTAGAACATTTGCATCCTAGGCACCGACCCTAGTTGACGCCACAAGAGCGAATATTAATCATTGCTAAGACAGCCGTTTTAAACATGCACAGTGAAATCACGATACCCCTGTTATACCTATTACAGAGGTACTTTATTACCTTTGGTGAATGTTATATCTGTTACAGAGGTACTTTATTAGCTTGAGTGAATGTTATACCTGTTCCAGAGGTACTTTATTACCTTGGGTGAATGTTATACCTGTTCCAGAGGTACTTTATTACCTTGGGTGAATGTTATACCTATTACTGAGGTACTTTATGACCTCTGGCTGGGTAGAATTTGTGCTGAATAAAGCGAGCGCCATTTATATACTGGGGGTTCAAATACTTTAGAGGATTAAATGGGTGCATGTGTTTTGAGCGAGTACTCCGGAATGTGAAGTTGGTTGTCTTAATGATTGATTGATAAAGATTAAGCCACCCAAGAGGTGGTACGGGCATGAATAGCCCGTAAGTGGAGGCCCTTTTGAACCATTACCAGTATCAATAGATGATACTGGAGATCTGTGGAGGTGCGACTGCACCCTGCGTGACGGGAGATGTCTCCCGTGTTGCCTTAATCGTTGTTGCTGTTAAAGATTTAGCTACTCAGGACGAAGTGTCTATGTAGCACGGGCTATGGTGAGCCCGTAATTGCCTTAATCATGTGCGTCACATTTTATTATATGAAGTCACCTGTTTTGTCTGCCAGGAAAGTGCATATTTAGGGGGGGGGGGGGATTTGGGAGCAGGGATTTGCACCTTGATTTGCGATCAAATGTATATAGCTTCATGGCCAGTGATCTATATACATATATAGTATTTTCATGCATATAAAATGTATTAATTTTCTAATATTTGTCTTTTTCGTGTTTCAGGAAGTGCAGAATTTGTTAGTAAGGAACTACCGGGAATTACAGAATGTACTCTTCAACAAGCTAGACAGTAAGTGTTTTTTTGTTTGGAGGGGGGGGGGCACATTCGGATTTCATAATCTTTTGCCCATAGGCAAAAGATTTAGTTACAAAGTTATAGGCATGGAGTGTATAGTTGGCCTGTACTGTTCTATAATAGTGATAAAATACAATAGAAGATCAGTGGGATCCATAAGGAGGATTCCAACTTGCACACTGGGCACTCCCACGCACACGCCTTCGACCACTTAACCACGATACTGTTAAAAGCAATGCAGACTGGGATTCAACTGAATCCTCTAGGGATCCTGAGGCTTCCACTGAAGTCCAATCAGGATTTCACACACATTTCCCCCCATGCACTCAGGCTGTGGTCCAGGAGTTTGACCCCCAAAGCTTCTCCTCAAATGCACAAAGAAATCACATTAACGTGATCAGTAAGAAAATCAGTAGAAGTCATGTGGAAGGTTTGAACCTGCACACTAGGTATTCTCAAGCACAAGCCTTAGACCACTTAACAACGACATTCTAAATGCAATGCAGATTGGAATTCAACTGAATTCTCTAGGGGTCCTGAGGCTTCTGCTGAAACAAAGTCAGGGTTTCACACATTACCTGCATGCACTGCGGCTTTTTAAGCATGTTATGGCCAAGTGGTCCAAGATGTGTGTTTGGGAGTACCCAGTGTGTAGGTTCGAATCTTCCTCATGGCTCCTAATGATTTTCTCATTGATTATGTTAATGTGATTATTTTATACATATATTGTTACGTGGAGCATACCTGGAGAGGGTTCTGGGAGTTGTTCTACTCCCCAAGCCCGGCCTGAGGTCAGGCTTGACTTGTGATAACTTGGTCCAACAGGCTGTTGCTTGGAGCAGCCCGCAGTTAATGATTTTTTGTTTACACTTACACTTTGTTTTTATAATATACAGTATTTCAAACTGTAAGCTAAATGTTACTCACTTTATGCTAAAAAGAGTACAATTTGATTTAGACTGATGTACACCTGTTTAGTTCAGCCATTATTGTAATGATTTATACAAGTTGTTACAGAAATAGTTTGATTCTGTATTTGACAACTGTATTTTAAAATTATTGATAAATGTTACTTCTGAATCTTAAGTATACAGTTAAAATTACATATATGATGTTATGATTTTATCTTGTGCACATAATTTATTGTAAATGTGTAAACTGACCCAAATATGAATGTACAAAAATGAATACAGTAATTCAATTTAAATTTTCATTTATATTTTGGTTTAATAAATATAACCGTGCATTTAAAGATCTGTTTGGACACAAGGAAGTGAACCATACATGGGTGTTCATAAGGTAGGCAGAAGTAGCAGGCCTTCATAATGTACAGTTCTACTCTTGCTTGCTAACTTGCAAGAGCAGACACGTGCAAGTGTTAACCATCGAGGGATGGGCGAGGGACATTGACCATCGTTATCAATACATTGCGGGTTTATCATCATACATGGTGTATGTGCTAAGGCTGGCAAAATTGTCAAACTAATTGATGCACCAACCAGTTGGAATAGGTCAAGTTGTGTTACCCAGTGGGTGACTGTGTGTGTGTAGGCACCCAGGTAGTGTTGTTGTCAACTTACACACCGTAATGATGCCAGGTATATACTGTACACCACTTTTATCATTGTAATGGTGTGCATTTTATGAAAGTACTGTACTGGGTGTTTAGTATGTAGCTGAACACACTGTAATACTGTACAGTGTTTTAACCATTACAGCCACCTTTAAGATAGTTAATGTTATTTGCTGTCTGTAATGTAAAAATGAGTGTCGAATATAATCAACTAAGATTTATTTAATTCACCTGTGGTTATTTTTTTTTTTTTTTGTGCTCAAGAAGTTTGAGTTTTACTAAATTAGGTACAGTAAGTACTTTGAGAAAAGCTGGTAGTTGTTGTACATTGATATATTTGTAATGATTTTCAGGTAGTGGGGAGCTTGTAAAAAGTGAACTAGCTCGAGTAACAAAGGCTGTTGCCATTGATAACTTGACTGCCATTGCAACCAGCCTGTCGGTGATCAAGAAGGACCTGTGGGAGATAAAGAATACAACCTTGCAGCTGCAAGACCAGACATCCAATCTTCAGAGTGGTGAGTTAATTGCTGCTGCAATATTCCAGACATTAGTTGATATTCTAGTTTAGATAAGTTACATTCAATTGTTAAATATCTCTCACATAATAGTTTGTGTAAGCTGATGATGTAATTTTAAAAGATATTCAAATACTGTATTAGCAAGACAATACATTTTAATAGGCAAATAATTCTGTAGTTAATGCTATGGTAGGCCTGTTTTGATTAATGTTCATATACAGAGTATTGTACAGTATATCTATCTCTTTGGTTAAATTGAGGTAGTTTTGGGGAACAGTGTCCCCCCATGGTCTGGTCTTTATCTTGGTGGTGTTAATGAGTGTAAAACAGCTGCTCATTGTGTCCTACACTGAGGAGGCATACCTCTGTCGTAGGCATCTGGGCGAGAGCTGGAAATATCGGGTGGAATGCCTATCCTCCCTGATGCAGGGGTTGGGGAGGAGTTACTTGTGTCACTGGACAAAGCTGGCCCTTCAGCAGCTGTGAAGGCCATGATCCATGGCTCATGCTGTGTGGATCAACAAGCCATTTGGCTACACTGTATTGCCTCTTTTGCAGCTTTGTTGTATTCAGTGCCAATTAAATCATTGTGGCTCTAATGGGTTTTGATGGTGGAGTCCTTGTGGTATTTAGAAGATGAAAATGGTTATAGGCCTCACTTTTAGCCTACTTGTTAAAACATCAAAACTGCTATCTAGGAAGGTTTCTGCTTTCCATTAGGGGATAAGAATAAATAGATATGGTACATCCTCTGATTAGACTGAATCAATCCAGTACTAGTTTTTGTTTAAAAAATTACTATGCCTCTATTGGTTGCCTTGAAACTTTGTGAAGTAAGGACTAGCGTTATGTAGGATCTTGCTCCAATAAAACATGAGTTTTCATTACAATGTTTTTGTTTTTTAAATGACTAAATCAGTACTGGGAAGGTGGGACACAATGTGTAGCACTCATCTTGTAATTATGCTTAGATAATTACTCTTAGGTACTGTACTTACACCACACAGATATGGAGTTAGGCTTCATGCATTCACATGGTGCACAAAGCCTTCACCCTATAACTGCGGGGACAGCTTGAACACAACACCCAACCATACTGGCTGTGCAATGGTTATCACAGTGTTTAGTTTCCATAGTATGTCTGATGTTAAAACCTAATTCTGATTGGTTTAATGTTTATGGAACAATCATCAGCTCCCCATGTGTGGGAGACATGCCAGGTTTGTGTGTGGAATGTTGCTACATAAACAAATCCAGCAGCCTTAATGTACTTTACATTTTATGTTTTTATGTGGCTTTTGGCTACAAACATTACTTTTGAATGTGTTGGAAATATCATACAGTATTTAAAAATACGTACAGTAGTTTTATCAAAAAAAGTTTTTGGCTTTGTGGTAATTCATATTTATGATATTGAAAATTTAATCAATGTTTTACATGTTATATTTTTTTCAGGGCTGGGTGACGTTGCTTTCAGGCTTAGAGAACTTCAAGAGTCGTGTGAATCTTTGCCCGATTGCCATGAGGTCATTATAGAATATGCTGATAAGCTGAGGATAAACAATGACTTCGATCGGGTATGTAAACCCGAGATGCATGAAGTGACCAGATTTTGACCTGATGAGATCACTTATAGGTAAAAAGTTTAACTCAAAGTTTGCAATGTGTCAGAGCCTGCAAAGTAACGAGTAATTCTGAAGAAGTGGATGCATACAATGAAGTTTGGTATATTGTTTTAGTAAATTCAATTCTATTTAAAGTAAGCCACTGCAATTTGCATAAAACCAGTTTGGAGTCAAGTGTTTTGGGAAAGCTTGGCAAGAGTATCCTTGTTATCTATAGAAACGTGTCTTAAAGGCATGACTGGAAAATTTTCACCAGTTTGAGATCAATGTTGCATCCTCTAAGCATTGAGTGAACGTGGAATCACACGGAAAACAAATTAAACCTTGGTTTCCTTCATTTTCTCGCACATCAGGACTCCTATCTTATACTTTATTTAGTTTCTGTTCACAAGTGTGAAATACAGTACTAACTGATAACTAGGAATTGTCTATAATTGGCTTTAGCTTCTATGAAAGATTAAAGACAACACAACTATTGAGACCTGTAACAGGTGACCCTAAGTATGAACTTGCCTGATACTGTTTTTCAGTTGTGTATTCTTTAGTTAGTTGTACTTAACTGTCTATTGTAGAGATATGCAACACCTTTTCCAGCTGAATCTGTATCTCTTTTTATGTCAAACCAGTTGCCAATTAAATCCTCAACACATTTAGCTCTGGACGTTGCATATCTTTGCTCTACGGACACTAATTGAAATTTTAATAATGTATCATAAGTGAGATATGGGCTTTGGCTTTATAACAAGTGTGTGAGCTGAACTTCTATGCCAGTGTTGAAATGCAAAATATGCAAACTGGGATTAAAATTGGTGAAAATACAGTATCTTGAATTTTTTTTTATGTAAAGTAAAAAACACACAGTAATTCCTGAGGTGAAGTATGAAGTGTAGAAGTTGAGCAACACAGTCGAGGTTGACCAGGGTAATGGCACTAACTCGTGTGGTTCCTTCCTCACAGTATCTGGAGACCGATGTTTTGCCTCAGGTAATTTGGAGAGCATGTAATGTAACCATATTTAGATACATGAATGCTAAGGCTTTATACATAAATCATGAATGCATTTTTTAAATTTGTGCATGATAGCAATACCATTTAATTTATGTAAATTTTAATTGTGCATGTTTGGTAGTGTATACTGTATGTATTAAAATGTAAGTGTGCGTGCATTAGAGATGGTAAGAGTGCGAGCAATAGAGCATGCAGCAGTGAAGAGGGATGGGAAAATGTGAAAAAATAGTGATGGGGGGAGGGGGTGGAAGGGGAGTGCATGAGAGCAAATAATCCTGTGTGCATGTCTGTGCACATGCACACGTATGTGCGCATGCATGCACAATGGCTTTTTATATGCATGAAATGTAATATGTTTGGCATGACCTCTGTGCATGTTGATTTTTAACACTTTAACTTATTTTTCAAATTTTTGTACTAAATTATCTTTTAATATTACCTAGAACCTTTCTTAATCTTTTGACCTTTCAGTACAGTATTTACATTTTATGTAATGTTCTTGAGAGTTTTTAAGTTCTTAAAATTTTATCATATTTATTTACAAGGAGGTACAATGGGTTTAAGAGAGTACATAATATTAGTATTTTTAAATTTTTGCAAAGCCACTAATATGCATAGCATTTTGGGCAAAAGAGGAAAAGAATGCCAAGAAGAGAAAAGAATATTTTTTACATTGCTATCATTTAAATACAATTTCTTGTTATAATTAAAAAAAAAAAAACTTCTTTGGTATTAAAAATAACTTAATACCTGGCTGAAAGTGTATCTGAAGCATAGAATATCATAAATACAGTAGTTTGTAAATTTAATGGACTTTGTTGGTAACAAATACAACTAAATACTCTTTGGTTCTTGTTTCCTTAATAATACTGTACATACCATTAAAAATGCAATCCATTTGGCTTGCAAGAAGCCTGTAATAGAGTACAGCACTGTGCGACTCTGCTTGAGTGGATAGATTCCTGCTGGACCTTGTCTGTTGCAGAGCTGCTGGAAATAATCTTGGCTATTACTCTGCAGTTTTTGTATTCTAACATTAAAGACATGGTTTGCATATTTTGATAAAAAGCACCAAAGTCACTTTGGGCATGGGAAGAGGGTAAAAAAAAAGTAATTGAAAATATTTTGTATATTTGCTATTATGGCAACACTTTCTTGACAAGACTGCTCAGCTGTGCTCAAGTCCACTCGAAATATTTTTGCTACTGTTCTTGAGTTTCGTTTTATCAGAAGATCTATACAATCGGCGTCTGTTCTAGCATTCCCACTGTATGCTGTGCATTGTTATATGAACAAGAATCTATATAAAACATATTTGTAGCGCATGTTACAATGCTCAAGACCTGGTAACTTGTGCAAGTTATAGAGACAAAATTATACATATAGGATATTTTTATGGAATATACTTCCTAATGCAGGTTGGTAGTGGTGGTGTGAAGGAAGTGGTGGCAATTGCTACCACAAGATGGCAGCACATTGTGTTGTTTGTTTTCAATTTTTAAGGTCATTATATGGTTGTCGACCATCACAGTATACCGAGAAGTTTATCTATTAAAGTAGGCAAATGCTGCTTTCAGAAGTGAAGAATTTTGTGTTAGGTATGAGACATCTTAAATTGATCCCATTTTTGGGATGACAATGGCATAGTGAGGGTCCCCTAGATGAGGGGTGCAAGCAGCACCAATATCCTAGCACCTAGGTGCAGTGCCCATTTCCTGCCAGGTGAATAGATGCATCAGGTGTTGGGAAACGTAGCTGTGCATAATGCCTAGACTGCACTAATGCCTACTACAAGGTATGCTTCGCAGGCCAAAGGTTAATTTTAAAATATTAAAATTTTATAGGGGAAATTGTTTATGGATATGGCATGATCAGGTTTTTTTGTTTTGTTTTTTTTTACAAATACAGTACAGTAGTACACTGTATATGAAGTATATGAAGACTTACTGTATTTTTTTTTTTAATGTAGGAACTCCTTTGTTTTCTTTGCTTTTCTCTGATTTCCTGATGATAATTTTGTGTAAATGTCATTGTAATATAATTTTTGTGTAATAATGTAGTCTCTAAGAAATGCAGTTCAGTGCTAAAAAGTAATTTAAATGATAATTAACTTTAAAATCAGGATTATATTAGTTAATAGTGTTAATGGGTGATGTACCATGTAACATTTAAAATTCAACAAAGGAATGTAGTTTTTCCCCAATAGATATGTCGGTTAATAATTATACTTCTATTAAGTTTGACATCCAGTAATACTTCTGGAAACCTTCTTGAAAGGTATTATTAATAGATTGATTACCATAATCTTGATTTTTTTTTTTTTACAAAGATGGATAGCGTTTGAAATAGGATTTCATTAACAAGAATGCAGTAAAATTATTCAAGGTACCTGTGCAGGAATAGTTCACTTGAGGAAGAAACACATAATAGAGTATTGAGGATTAACAAGGATAGTGAAATATATGGCTGACCACCTAATGAAGTCGTGTTGGACTTGTAGTGAAGCAAAACCTCCAGTATTTTTTATTTTTTTATTAAATGTTAGCATAGAGAGTTATTTAATAGGTATATCAGTTTAAAATTTGTGTAGACCAATATAAAAATTTATTTATGCAAGGATAATGTTTTCAGCATTTCTAACAAACCTAATTATTATGAATTTTCAGCTCCCGAATGTTGAATCAAAACTTGATGAAGTAACTACCCTTATAGAAAATGATATAGAGATCGTGGTGAAGCGAGGCAAACGAGCGTTTGATTCGATAGCAACCGAGATCCAGAACAAGGTTCAAAGTTCAATACCAGATATCAAGGAAAAAATTTTGGATGCAGGTGAGCCTGTATGAACATATTGTAATTTGTATAAATATTTTGTAACGGATGAGACAAAAAAGGACAAGTGTTGCAAGATTTGTACTAGGCACTCTGGGTGTTAATGAAACATGACTGTGGCATGTAAGACACATTAGTAATTGGGACAAGTCAAATGAATGTGGAATTATGAAAAGACAGACAGACTGCTGTTTAATTATAAAAAAATATATATTGCTGGAAAGAATCATACAGTACCAAGGAATAAAAATGAGTAAATTGTCTACCTAAAAAGAAAAAAAACATTCAGATTGATTGGGGGTATAGATTAAGAATGTTGGCATAATGTTGGTGGTCTGGTGTGTGAGAAATGTGTGGCTGTGTATAGTAGTGATGGAACTTACTGGAGTGTCTTGACAAGGAGTCCTGCTGCATGATAGGTAATGGCACAAGGCTTGCAGAGATGTCAATTATTATTTTGTTAAATTATTTACTTTAAGGTTTTTCCTTATGTTTTTTATTTATATATATTTTTGTGGGGGAAGGGGAAGGGGGGGTTATATTATCACAGAAAACCCATGACTTCCTGAAGCTTCCTTAGCCAAGGTTGAGACAGATGTTCATGTAGTCACCCATATCAAGTGTAGATTAGCTTCAAGTACATAACGTAAGTCACGCTATTGTGATTTTTGTGTACATAACGTAGTTTCTACATGACATTATTTAACAAGATTTCATTTGTGAATTTTTTTAGGTGGTCAGCTGGAAGATGAGGCCGAGAGAATTCACAGAAGACTTCAACCAACTTATCTTGGTCAATCCCAGGAATCTGACTCCTATCCAAGGGAGTCAAATGTTTATTTAAAGGAAGTAAACAAATACTTGAGAATCATGCAGGATGGAATAAATGAATATGCTATGTACAGGTAGGTTGCTAATGTTTGTATACTTTTTCCGATTAAAAAAAGTGTTCAATATTCTCCCTTCAAAAGAAGTTGGTTTCCTCTTTCATGAGATGGGGAGGCATCAGCCTAGACAAAATAGAGGTGTAGAGATGCCCACACATCAGAAGATGAAGAAAGGACGACATTTTGGTCTGTCCTGGACCATTATAAAGTAGTGTGAGAGCATATAGGGTAGCATAGTAAAATAAGGATAGCAGTGATAAGAAATGACACCTCTTCATTCATCATATCTTAAACACCATGTACACTAGCATCACATAGAATAAATGCCACCTCATTCCAAGATTAGTTGTAGACTGGTCCTGTTAAGTTAATATAATGAGGACTAATATAAAGTAACAAGGAAATTTCTTCTCTGTATATTTTCCCCTGTAGCTTTGATAAGAGGAAATGCTGGCTGAACAAGCAAAAATAGATCAGAGTTATGAGAGTTTCTACTAATGCACCAAAATAATTGTTTTGACATACTAAACCTTTACCAAGACACCTGACATTTAAAACACAAGTTTAGCTTGGTAGCTCTATTTATTTGGCACAGATATGCCCTTTCAAGGGTGTTGCCTTGAGACCAAACTACATACCAGAAGACGAAGAAACTAAGACGTTTCGGTCCGTCCTGGACCATTATCAAGTTATATTGATACAACTTAATAATGGTACTGGACGGACCGAAATGTCGTCATTTCTTCATTTTCTGGTGTGTTGTTTGGTCATCATATCTTCAGCCACATTGACTCATTATCTGCACGTGTTGCCTTGAAATGGTGAGGGGGGGGGGCTCTTGTATGCCACCCACAGGTAGGTGGGGTTGGCTCTGCTTCCCTCTCCTGCCTGGTGTGAGGGTGCACAAGTAAAAAGAAATCCCAGTGTGTTCACAGTGCATGGAGACGCATGCATTCCCTATTGTTCCTTCATCTGGGTGTTGAATCTACCCGGCTGTTGCAACCCCCTGGGAGGGGTGTAATATACTACTTTGGTGGATGAACAGGGGTAAAAAAGGTTCAGCGTGGCCCACCTGACTCGGCTCGTTTAATTAGCTCCTGTGGTTAGACACCAGATAAAGTGGGCATTATGAGGTTGGTATCCACATCAGTTCCTTGCCTACTAATTGGACCCTTCAATGGTGACCAATAGTTACCCCTGAGGTTGCCCATGTTCATGGGTCTCTCCTTGCTGGCTTTTGGTGAGTGGGGGTGTAGGGCAGCAAAGTCCAATTTTGCTTGCTTCATATTGTCTCTTAAACACACTCCTTCTCACTTGTGGGTGACTAGTCCCTTGAATCAGACTGTTATGGAAAATCAGGCTCCATAGTTCCAACTATGATGGGCCCTAATCAGGCTTTGTCTTTGATAATCCCTACTGATCCTCTCCCTTTTCTAGCCTCTTCTTTGGCATGGTAAATCTCCAAGTCCCCAGTGGTGATTACCTCAGCACCTTGAGAGACTTGTTCTTTAATGATTATGATGGCACTTTTCATTCCTCTTCCCAGGAGGTCCACAGTGATGTCCTTGCAATTGAGCATGCACTGTATGTAATTACCTAAGTGTAATTACAGGATGAGAGCTACGCCCGTGGTGTCCCGTCTACCCAGCACTCTTTGTCATGTAACGCTTTGAAACTACTGACGGTTTTGTCTTCCACCACCTCACTTAACTTGTTCCAACCATCTACCACTCTGTTTGCGAAAGTGAATTTTCTCATATTTCTTCGGCATCTTTGTTTAGTTAGTTTAAATCTGACCTCTTGTTCTTGAAGTTCCAGGTCTCGGGAAATCTTCCCTATCGATTTTATCAATTGCCGTTACTATTTTGTACGTAGTGATCATATCACCTCTTTTTCTTCTGTCTTCAAGTTTTGGCATATTTAATGCCTCTAACCTCTCCTCGTAGCTCTTGCCCTTTAGTTCTGGGAGCCACTTAGTATCATGTCTTTGCATGCGCTGTAGCCTGGAAAAGGCACTGATGCCAGAAAGCACCTGAAGCATTTAATGTTTCAGAAGTTGAGTGCAGTGGCTCATAGGGACACTCATACAACTTAATGTGAGAGTTGGAAATCCTACATCTCCATCATTGCTGTTGACACTCCTCTCCCTAATATCTGGACGAAAATCTGTAAAATTGTGGGCAAATTTGTTCAACGCTTGTGCCTGTTTGTCATCTACATGGTTCTGTTGTGGCCAAGTCAGTGTTGATTGGTCGTGAATGAACTGGGTTTGCACTTCCCTTACTCTTGAGCCCCTTCTTGAATCTTGCCTCCTTAGACTTTCACTCTCCACTGTATCTCCTATAATCTCTCCACTCTTTCTAATCTCCGATCTGCCTTGTCATCCTCCAATTCTTGTGCAGCTGGCTCGGACAGTGTTCACTATGAGAGGCTTAATCATCTCCCTCTGTGCACCTTGGAGCACCTCTGTGCTGCATATCTGCAACTGTATTTAAATACAGTATTGACTTTGGCCCCTGAAAATTGCCTAATGCAATTGTTCTTCCTGTTAGAAAACCTGGTCCTCAGGAAACTTCCCCTAAGGATTTTTGTCCCATTTCCTTAACCAAATGTCTGCAATCTCTCTTAAGCATATGGTTAATGTACATATCATGTGGTTTCTGGAACATCATCTCTACCCCTCTCCCAATTTGGCTTTTTCATCATGAGGGCTATCTTGGTGAACTTGATCTACATTTGTACTGCTTTTGTTGCCAAATCCTGTTGTTAAAGTTCTCTTTGACTTGGAGAAAGCTTAGAACACCACCTGGAGATAAAATATTTTAGCTCAACTGCACTCTTTTAGCCTTCTCAGCAAAATTTCACTTTTCTGCAAAGCTTCCTCTCTTATTGTTCGTTTTAAATGATAGCTGGTCATACTTTCTCAAACTGTTGTCAACAGTATGAAGGTGCTCCCTAAAGCAGTGTTCTGAGCACTACTTTGTGATTGCCCTAAATGATCTCCCTCCCCTTTACCATGGCATTTTCATAGGCCTTTATAATGATGGTTACTCTTTTGTCATGGTGATGACGACGACGACTTCCCTCCAATTCTGGCTCTGGCATGAGCTCGATGATGTGACATCCAGGGCAATCAATCATAGCTCAAGTCCTTACACCTAAGATTTGTGCTATGGGTTTGACTCTGAGGCATATCATTCCTCATCCCCCACTGTCACTCTATGGTAAAGCCCTTCAGTATAGGGATACCGCCAAACTCTTGGGTTTAATCATTGACACCCCTTTGTCTTGGTCACCCCATATCGCTGACCTAGTTAAATTAAAAGCTTTATGACCCTTACATTATTGTCTTGTCTTGTATTTCTTGGGAGCAGATACACACACTCCTCTATTTGCATTACTCTTTTGTGCTGTCTAAACTTTGTGGCTTCCCTACATAATCCTCAGCATCTCCTTCAGAATTTTGTCATTTTGATGCACTTCACCATACTTTAGCTTATGCCTCAGTTCTGATGCCTTTCGTTTGTTCCCCATCTGTAGCTTGTACACGGAATGTTGTATCCAGATGAGCGCCTGACAGCTGTGTGGACAGCGCTTGGATTCGTAGTGCTGAGGTTCCGAGTTTGATCCCCGGTGGAGGAGGAGACAAAGAGGCAAAATGTTTTTTACCCAGATGCCCCTGTTACCTAGCAGTAAATAGGTACCTGGGAGTTAGACAGCTGCTATGGGCTGCTTCCTGGGGGTGGAGGCCTGGTTGAGGACCGGGCCACGGGGACACTAAGCCCCGAAACCATCTCGGGATAACCTCAAGATAGAGGATCGTCATGATCATTACTGCCTCTGATATCTCGCATGATCCCTACAACATTCTACACTCATGCTTGTGCTGTGCTTTGATCACTACTCCACAAGAGGGACCTGATCCCTCTCACCACCTTCCTGTTTCTGGCAAGGGTGGTTAGTTTACAAGATTCACTCTCGATTCACATTGGTAATGTCTCTTCTTGTGTTGTTTTTCCCTTGCATCTATGGAGGGTCCCACTTTGAATTTTGTAAGACCATGCCCCATGTAGTGAAGGCACCCCTCCTACATAATGAAATGACATTAATGTGATGTATCTGAGAAAATCAGTAGGAGCCATGAGAAGGATTTGAATTCGCACACTTAGTACTCCCAAGCACATGCTTTAGACCATCACACCACGACATCATCAAAAACAATGCAACCTGGGATTTAACAGAGTTCTCTAGGGGATCCTGAGTCTTCCACTGAAGTCCAATCAGGGTTTCATACATTGTCCCCCCTCCACCTCCCTCTCACTTCCCCTCCCCTCTCCCATGCATTCTGGCTGTGGTCCAGCGGTTTTAAAACCAATGCTTCTCTTTAAATGCACAATGAAATTACGTTAACGTGATGCATCGTGTGATTTCATTGTCCCTATTTTAGGTCTGGAAGCCATTTGGTTTAGATATGAACACCAAACATCTGCCATATAATCCAATTTTGTTTAGTGAATTTTGTGAACATTTCTTTACTACAGTATTTTCCAATGTATTTAAAAACGATTTTGAAGCTTGCAAGTGTATTGTAGGCTCCTTTCACAATGGCTCTGATGTGATCCACATGTGATAGTTTACTATACAAAACCATCACCGTCAAGATCTCTCTCATTGTCAGAGTTCTTTAACACATTCATTGTTTAGAGGGAATCTTATAGTGTGGCCTAGATTTGGGAGGGTGGACGGTGAGTACACACACGAACAAGTAAAAGATTTGTGTTGTATTTACACATGCATACACGAACATTATATACACCTATGTAAATGTACAGTACATAAAATATTGTATACATGTTTCAGTATACATTATTGTATTTTTTTGTTTTTAGATACTGGGGCTTCATGGGCCTGTGTATATTGCTGCTAGTGATAACGCTGTGCTTCACATTGGGCGTGGTGTTTGGCTGCTGTGGTCGCCGCCCTGATGAAGCCTCTTCGTGTCACAAGGCTACTGGTGCCTCGTGGCTCATGTGGTTAGTTATAGAACGTGTTTGAGACTCGTGTACAGTGCTGAAAAGCAGGATGATTGTTACATTTTGTTTATCTTTCAACTTATGTTAATAGATTCCTTTGTTTGCTTTTTAAGACTGCTTTAATATGTACAGGCATACCTCAGAATAAGAGTTTAATCCGTTCCTGGAGACGCCTCGCCTTCCGAAAACTCGCATTCCGAAGTTAATTTCCCCATAAGAAATAAAGGGAAATGAATTAATCCGTTCCTGACTACCCCAAAAACCCCACATCAAACTAAATTTTTATACCTAATTTACCTAATTCATCTAAATAAACCTACAAAACTGTGTTCCAGTTATTACTTACCTTGCTGTCGAGTGCTGTAGGCGTATGGAAGATGGTGAGGAGGGGGGAGGAGGAGAGGAGTTACTGTTTGGAAGGGGAGTCCCCTTCCATAATCACATCACATAACCCCATGCCTTGTAACACTATGGATACCACTTCTCTTTCTAAATTTTTCAAACCAGCCCCTGCTTGCCTTAAACTCTTTCTTATCTGCATCACTCGTTGCAGGGGTATTCTTTAGAAGGTCTTCGTGCAACACCCTGGCTTTCTCACAAATAATGGCCTCCGAAACACTATCACCCTTCAACTCCTTGTCGTGTATCCAAATTAATAACAACTTTTCCACTTCTTCAAGTATTTGTGGTCTTTGTGCCGTTAATGTTCTTACTCCTTTTGCCACTTTAGCACCCATAATCTTATTTTTCTTCTTAAATATAGTGCATATTGTTGATGTGGCTTTGTTGTACTGCCTACAAAGTTCAACAACACGTGTACCGTTCTCATGCTTCCGAATGATCTCTTGTTTCTCCTCTATTGTCATCCTCACATGAGCTTTCTGGCCTTTATCCTTACCGCTGGCTTTCTTGGGACCCATGGTGAGATATATAATAACAAATTGTATAGACAAATCACCAAAAATCCAACAAAACACTGAAAATCCGCGAGAAGAATTGATGTGGGGGTAGTCACTGAGCGCGAGACAATAATAAACAATAATAAACCACGCAGTCTCCGTGGTGTAGTGGTAAGACACTCGCCTGGCGTTCCGCGAGCGCTATGTCATGGGTTCGTATCCTGGCCGGGGAGGATTTAATGGGCGCAATTCCTTAACTGTAGCCTCTGTTTAACGCAACAGTAAAATGTGTACTTGGATGAAAAAACGATTCTTCGCGGCAGGGGATCGTATTCCAGGGACCATAGGATTAAGGACTTGCCCGAAACGCTACGCGTACTAGTGGCTGTACAAGAATGTAACAACTCTTGTATATATCTCAAAAAAAAAAAAAAAAAAAAAAAAAAAAAAAAAACTGAGGGGCGGAGGGGCGACGAACGCGCTAGGTCGGCTGTACGCGTATCAACAAACTCGCGTCCAAACTCGCCTCCCGAAGTAACCCTCGCCTTCTGAGACAAATTTTTGGAGTAAATACACCTCGCCTTCCGAAAACCTCGCATACAGGGACAATCGCATTCCGAGGTACCACTGTACAACATGTACATGCTATCATCAATAAGTCAATTATATTTTAGGTTGTCTTTAGATAACTTAAATGTATATGAGCATCTTGGATGATGTAGGAATGTTTGTTATTGAGTGGCAGCACTCTAATCCTGCTTAATAATTTACATTTCTATAAAATTATAATATAATATAATACTTGTGATCAAGTGAATAAGTTGTATTTACACTATAATTTTAAGAGTTTACACATTATCATCTATTGTATAGGCAATGTTTGGCATTTATGTGATATTTTCAGGCCGTTTTCTAGTATTGAATAACTTGAGAAAGTTCAGTGTTAGGATAGTGTGATGGACTGCACAGGTCTTGGTTTCTTTTTTTTTTTTGAGATATATACAAGAGTTGTTACATTCTTGTACAGCCACTAGTACGCGTAGCGTTTCGGGCAGGTCCCTGGAATACGATCCCCTGCCGCGAAGAATCGTTTTTTCATCCAAGTACAGTACACATTTTACTGTTGCGTTAAACAGAGGCTACAGTTAAGGAATTGCGCCCAGTAAATCCTCCCCGGCCAGGATACGAACCCAGGACATAGCGCTCGCGGAACGCCAGGCGAGTGTCTTACCACTACACCACGGAGACTCTATATGTCTCCATATATGTCTCATCACTAAATTATTATAAGACTTGCTGGTATATACAGAAAAAGTTAAGGTATTGTTTATCATTGATTTAGTTTAATATGAGAGGAATTATACTTATTAGTTCATGTTCTTTAGTGTAGCTAAGATGTACAGACACAGGAGTCATAATGAAATAGAGAACCTGCATTATTACTTTAATATATGGTGTGTGATATTTTCAGTGGTGTTGGGTTGACATTCCTCTTCTCGGCTGTAATTATGGCTTGCACTACAGCGCTCTTCATTGTGGGTAGTGCTAGCGAGATCTTGGTGTGTAACCCGCTCGGTGATCCAATGCACTCGGAGGTGTTCTCTGTGGTTGCTGAGCGCTATAATCTTAATAACTATTATCCACCTGGGGAGGCACCAAGAATAACAGAAATAATTAGGTAAGCCAATTCACTTGATATGATATAAAAATGTTCCATTTAATGCTTTTGAAAAGTTTGAATGTAGGAAGGGTGTATGTGTGTAGAAATTGTCTCGTTGACTGGGGTCCATGCTGTATATTACTTGAGGTAAGTCAGCCCAGTACAATGTTTATATTTTATTTCACTGTGTGTGCGTGTTAATTATATAATTAATTAATTAATTATACCAGCTTGAGGCATTATCTCTGCCTTCAAGACTGTGCCAAAGCTCAAATATTTCCCATTTGATAAAAATTTAACAATGAATCTTGTAACATGTGTTATCTTTCAATATATGCAGCAGTGTTATTCTTTAGTCCTGAGCACATTGGAATTCTGCTTGGTAGCTTACATGGGGCAGACCTGATTTGTGAGATGAGAGATTTCACTGAAAGTACTCGGGTTCCCCTCATCCCATATCCAATTTGCCTCCCCTCCTCTGAACCCCACATCCAACTTGACCTACCCACCCTACCCCAAATTCGGGTCAAACCCCAGGTCCACCTCTTCCCTGACCCTAACCCCAGGTCCAACTCTCTGCCCTTCTAACCCCAGGTCCACCTCTACCCCCCCCCCAATCCCAGGTCCACATCTCTCTACCCCCCCCCAACCCCAGGTCCACCTCTCTCCCCCCCCCCCCAACCCCAGGTCCACCTCTCTCCCCCCCCAACCCCAGGTCCACACCTCTCTCCCCCCCCCAACCCCAGGTCCACCCCTCTCTCCCCCCCCCCCCCAACCCCAGGTCCACCCCTCGCCCCCCCTCACCTAACCCCAGGTCCAACACTCCCCCCCCCCCCTAATCCCAGGTCCAACTCCTTCCCCCTTAATGCCTGGTCCAACTCCCCCCCCCCCCTAATCCCAGGTCCAACTCTTCCTCCCTTAATCCCAGGTCCAACTTCACCCCCTTTAACCCTGCTGAACTAAGCCTATTTGTCATAATTATGTATACTTGCATTACTGGAATATAAAAACAGCATAGCAGTGTAGAGATTTACATTATGGCGAGTTGACACCCTTCTGCTTATAACATTTTGTTTACCTCCTCAGCAAATGTCACAGGAACCAGAGTCTTTATGCAGTGTTGAGTTTAGACCACATCGACAGCATCCTTGTCAAGCTCCAAGACTATAAGAAGCGACTTAATCTTGATGAAAAGGTTTGTCAGTAAATATTCATATTTAAAAGCTTTCATCACCAGTCCTACTCTTTTCACTCATCTTTTTCATATTTCATACCATTATCATGTGACTTTTATTAGGTTTAAGCATTCAAAAATTGGCCCCTCCAAATTTTCAATATATTAATCATGTGTGCTTTTTCATCTTTCAAATAATATACTCCTGCATACAAGGATACGCCTTATCCTTGTTGCATCTGTCATACTTATCTTGAATATGGAAAATATTCATGTTGCTCTAGATTTTCTTGTCATATAATTTTTGTCTAGTAAGTTTGAGCAAGTCACCAGTTGTCGGCCAACACTGATTGTTGTCTTCTCATAAAAATGTAAACAAATCCTGCTGTATAGTGTGGGGTATAAATTTAAAACAAATGTCACTTCAAAGGCAAGTGTGTGTTGATTAGTAGCCACAAAATTTAGTTAATGTTTTCTTGTTGAATTTATATTAAAATATAAAATGCAGTACATGTTGGCTTCCAAATTTTCCACTCGAAGAGCTTTCTTAATGTGATATGCACATTAATCTTATAATAAGGAATTAAAGCTCAAATTGAATACATGCCACAGTGCTTGCATGACCCTGGCATTTATCTGAAGGGCTGATGTTTAGACTGGGAGGGAAAGCAGGATCTTCATCCCTTTTTTTGTATATATATAAAAACTGATGACTGTTGGCATTGTTACCCCCTTGCCAGACTCTTGGTTTCTACCTCATCTTTTGGATTAAGGTTTGTCTCCTCAATAGTCTGGCTTTCCTGATTTTTCTGTAGATTGGTCTGGAAATCTTGTTGATAATAAGTAATTCAGGATTCCTGCAAAAATTTTTGTCATTTATTTTTTTTTTCCAGATTGATCAGCTGATGCTGGAGATTCGTGTTGACACTGATGTAGAGATCCTGTCGAGAGATGCCAAAGAGCAGCTATGGGAGCTCGCTAACTCTTCAGTAGCTGATAAAGACACTTGGGACTATTATACTGACATAGTAAGACTAATTGTACCTTTTTATAGAAGCTTAGAAAAAAACAGTTTATTGACTTGTATTTTTTGTTTTAGTTCATTGGAAATGTAATATCCTAGTATAATTTTATTGAAGAATGCAACCCTTAATTATATGTAATCATGATGTGATTTATTGTAATTTTCAGTTAGTGCTGAGCCTGTGATATAAATTTCAAAATATTAAAAATAATAATAATAATAATAAGAATGATTATGATTATTATTAATTTGCAGTTGGAGAAGAAAGTTCTTACAATTGACTTAATGGAATTGGCAGCCTTATTGAACCAAACAGCAGACAAACTACCTAATGGATATACACAAGTATCTTTCAAACTTAAAAATGATGCCCTTTTCTTAGAGGTAAGATTTTGGGTACTTAATGCTGTTTGTATAATTTTTGTGTACTCATTGGCTCTTGTGCTGGATCCTGACATGAAACTTTCAACATTTTCACTCACTCAAGGATTTGTGTAATTACCTAAGTGTAGTTACAGGATGAGAGCTACATTTGTTGTATACCATCTTCCCAATAATCTTTATCATATTATGCTTTTAAACTGCTGACGGATTTAGTATCCACCACCTTGATTTGTACCAACCACCTTGACTTGCACCAACCTTTTACCACTCTGTTTGCAAAAGAGATGTGGTATGTTTTTCCAGAACCTTTGTTTTCTAATCGTGACTCTATTATCTGTTAGTACTGAAGTTGCAGGTTTCAAAAACTACTTGTCTGCTTCGTTGATTCCTGTTAATATTCTGCACATAACGAGCATAATGCCTCTTCCTTGTATCTTGTTGCCTTGGCATGTTCAACACTTCCAGCTTCTCCTTATAGCTCATGTTCTCAAGGCATCTGCCATTGAACTGTTAGGTTTGCTAGACAGTTCTCATGTCCAATTTCCTGCTGCTTTTTTGGTTTCAAGTTCATTATCTTCGTATGTTACACTAGTTTTTATCTACTAGCCCCTTTATTTTCGTTAGGGATAATTCTTTACTTAACCCACCTTCTCTGTAGGTCACCATGTAAAACTCGTCTTAACAATTTCTCATGGTTTGAACATAACGATGTTTTTATATACATGTTCTTGCTTATAGATACTAGCAGAGAGGATTATTCTTTTGGGGCCTACCTCTCTCCTGGGTAGCTGGTGCAACCAATCCAGTTTCCCAGAACAGTCTTTCAAAGCTGTTGGTTAAGTTTGTGTCTGCTATATCATTAGTCAGTGTGTTTATTACATGGTAGATGTTTAATATACAGGCAATAATCTGTTTCACTGGTACTGTATTTCATTTGTTTACCCCCTTGTATTCAGTTTATAGTTTAGTAATGCCATGTACTTAGTCATGTATTCGGAAATGAAGAATGCCCAGTCAAATGACCTGGCAGCCCCTTAGCCACCCCTGTCTTTGGTGGGGCAGATGCCATCTGTGAATAGTTGTTGGATTCGTTGCTTACAAGCGTACATGAGCTGGTGTTGTTTTTATTGGCTTGGTCACAATTCGTGACTCCTTCCACCCTTTGGGTATCTTACTAAATTTTGTCAAAACCCAATACAATGTTTTTGCAAAATGCCAGGAATGTGTCTGAAAGGTCTTCAGCGAGCAGGATACTTTAGAGGAAACATTGTGTTACCGATTGTGAAGAAATTAGTTAAACAGTTTGAAAATGGTGTCCTTAAAGTACTCATCTGTGTGGATTACAGTATATGATACTGCGAAGATAAAAGGGAAAATTTCTCCTGTTTTTTTTCCTGTCTAATTCTTTACTATTTGTTTACAAGCAAATTATAATTTCCTCATTGTTTTTCTCATTGAAATTGTTTTTTCAAACAAACATTTGTTTGAGGAAACAAATTAGATTGGTGTTGTATTGTTTGTCCATGCTTTATAAAAATATTAGTACCTGATATATGTTTTCAGTCATTGATGATGATTTGCTGACACATCATATTTGTGTATACACTGTATGTATCGAAAGGTTAAATCTAAATTTGAATATTCTTTTTTTTATTTTATTTTTTTTCAAATATTTTGATGTATTCATGTAATTCATATTCTCACAGGGATTACAGCGATGGGTAACATCAATTGGTTCACTCACTAAAAACCTAAAGAAAACTACTGCACGACTTAATGAGAACTTGAAATTCAACAAGACAAGTTTGCGTGAAGCTATTGGAGATCTCATCAGCCAGGCAGAGTTTGCACAATATTACCTTCGTGTAAATGGTTCTCGAGAAGTTACTGAGGTAAAATTTGCTTTTATTGTAATTTCCAGTAGTTTTATATACTTGTAATGTTAAATAGAAAATAACAATCTCTCAAATAAAATGTCACTATACAGTGCATCTTTTAGGAGATGGTTAATTAGAAATGGTAAGCTATTCAGTCCTGCTTATTTGGCTTTTGTAAAAAAGTGTTCTGTATTATATTTTATATAAATTAGCTGAACTGTCACTGATGTAATTAAGAAGAAGAAAGTACTGCATTGTATTTTCAGAGATCTGGAAAGTTAGAAATTCTTCAATTAAGAAAACTATACTTTGGGAGTGGTAGTTATGTGGAAAGGGTATGTTTATCTGTTTAACCCTTTAACTGCGCAACGAGCCTGCAGGCTCGCGTCTGGGGTGCGCTACGCTCCTCCGGGTATTTGTATTTTTCACGTTCCTTCAAAACTCCCGCAGCTACATGGGGTTCACATCAGCTTCCTCAGGGCTCTTGTAAACAGACGCCATCTTTAAAAGAAATCGTGGTCCACATTCCCAGGTGTGAGAACCTCAGTAGTGAGTGAGCAACCAAGGCCGGCACACACAGCATGAGCTCACAGCACTGCTGTTCAGCTTGTGACCACAGGATCGCCTAATAATGTCAAAATATATATATATAACTTGTATTATTTAGCCATGATAGTACAGTATTACAGAAGAGCCTGAATGTGATAATGACTGTATACAATGTTCAAATATTAGTGATTCAAAGCTGTTCACGATGTTCACAGCGCTAGCCACAGCACCTCAGCATTATTTCGTCCATCTAGGAATCTTCAAATGACTTCTTAGGTTCCTTTACAAAATAAACTTGTGGTCAATTATGTATTTACAGGATTTAGTAACCAGTATTGTAATAACAGCAGGATTGTGGTGATAATAAGCACTGTGCATAGTATTGTGGGAGGAGCAATTGTGGTGAGGGAGCGAGGGAGAGAATCTAGGAAGCCTCACTGTGTGGCAGCCACTCTTGTTTTGCTCATCATACTGGCTTAGTGGTTTGCTATGGTGAACACGTATGTACATGGGTATATACAAATGTGTGTATATACCCATGTACATATGTGCGTAGTATTGTGGGAGAAGGAATTGTGGTGAGGGAGCAAGGGAGAGAATTGAGGTAGCCTCACTGTGTGTGGCAGCCACTCTCGTTTTGCTCATCATACTAGCTTAGTGGTTCACAGTGGTGAACGCATTTGTACACGAGTATATACAATGTGTGTGTGTGTGTGTGTGTATAGTGTAGTAACAGCAACAGGAGTATGTTGGGAGGAGCTATTTAGGTGAGGGAGGTGACGTAATCGTAGCGTTGTCTGCTGGCTGCTGTGTGATTTCTCATGCAGTGTATGGTGGCCACTGTAAAGTTTGGACACAATACTGGCTGACTTGCATAGTTCTGGTGAATAAAACATGTAGATAGGTATACATAACATGTGTAAATAGTGTAATACAAACAATAACAGTATGGTGGGAGGAGCAATATTGGCGAGTAAGATGTTGGAGGAGTGAGGGAGGGACTGAATGTTGAAGGAGTGAGGATGTGGCAGCTGACACTCGCGGAGTTTTGAGTGTGTTCATGGTGAATGTATATAGTGTGTGATAGTGTATAGTGTGTAAATAGACTGTGTATTTCCATAAATTAGCATAATACAATGGATTATAACTAGGAGTTATAACTAGTATAACTAGGTGTCATATACACAATTTCTGAACTTGATTCTGTTCCCGATTCATGGACACTCGACACAAGGTACTTGGGTGCCATAGATAGGGCAAAAATGTTCAGTGCACAGCATGCACAGGACTGCACAGCAGCCATGGGGTACAATACAAGCTGAGAGGACACTTTCTCTCACACTGTTCAACAGAATTTAGATGCAGTACCTATTGCAGGTGGCTATAAGTGACAAATCTTCCAATCCTGAACACTTCTGGTGTAAACTGTGTGAACAGGAACTTGGTCATAATTTCATACACTACATGCCTGAATGTCTAGGCATTAGACCCTTGAGACCTGCCAGTATATGGTTCCTGGAGCTTTGCAATCACTTTATTATCTCTCGTGTTTTTGAAGATATCCTAATAATGCACCCAAAGTTTGCCAGTGCAGGCCCCTATATGACTGACCATCCTGTGAGATGGGGAATTTTTAGCATCACATAACTAGATCTTAACACACTATGTAACCCACCATAATGTCTGGGGTAGATGCATAAATACAGATGTCCCTAAATATGTTGATAAAAAAAAAAAACATTCTGATATGCAAAACACATGTTCTGATAGTAGATTTTTATTCTGGAGGCTCCCAACACTTAAATGGAGCAACCATTTTTACAAAATTCACATGAAAAATAGAACTTGGTTGATTATATCTTGCTCTACACATCAGAGTAAATGCCCTTAACTCAACACATCAGCAATTGTTTTTCCAGCTGGAACAGGTTTGACTGAAGGTGGCCTTTTGGTTTGTCAGAGGAAATAATTTTTTGTCACATTTGAGACTGCCAAGAGGTCTTGTGGAGACTTCTGTCAACATTTTCCTGCTTTGATTTTTCAGGGCTCAGGTTTTTGGCATTCTTTCCTCACCTATTCATGGACACTTCAGCTCTTGACTGATAGTTTGTCTCCAGTGATCACCATGCAGCGAGCATTCATCTAGAACTGTTAGTCAGTTGTGTTTCCCAGTGACTTTTACCTCCGGCAATTCTTTTTGTGGCTCTGCCTCGCTCAGCTTTTTGGCATGCAGGATGGCCTCGATGGTTCAAGACTCCGCCAATATTCACATATGTGTTGTCCACATTTAGGGTAGTTATTAGGAGAGAGCACCAAGGCATTACAACTATACAACGATGTTCCTGTTTAAGAGGGAAAAGCATAGGTAGCAGGATTGATAATAAAAACATTGGTAAAGACTTAATAAAAGATTTTTGTATTCAATGATAGAGAATGATTTTGGGGACTAGATGTACACTTGGGCTGTGGCTAAGGTTAATGATCAGGGGTCACAAGGGAGGCCATCCATATATATATATATATATATGTATGACACATGTACAGTAATGTTAAATGGTAGAAACTCGACAAAGAATAACTTATAAATGTCACCATTAGTACAAAAGATGAACATAAAAGGACCGAAAATTGAGGAGTAGGTGTATGTCACACACCCATGTAACCCCCCACCCCCCCCCTCCAATTTCCATGACTGAGTAATTACCCAAGTGTAGTTACAGGATGAGAGCTATACGCTCGTAGTGTCCCGTCTTCCCAGTACTCTTTATCATATAACATTACTTTATAATGTTTAACGAGTTTGTTACTTTAGTTGTGATTGTCACTTCTGATGACCCGTGTTTGTTTTGGTTTCAGTATCCTAAATGCTTTTCATTTCCATATTAAATATATAATTCATTTTGTATACTGGGAAATTGCCTTTCACAACTTCTAACTTTATTTTTGAAAGCAGAAGTGTTTATAACACTTTTATAAGTATAACAAACATTTCCTTGCACTTTGCTATAGCACACTCAGTTATTACTTAACATTTATATAATTTGGGTATATAATCACACTAATTTCTCATTCATACAGCTTGTAGCTCGATTCTCAGAAGATTTTCTAGCAGATGTAGATGAATATGTTTCACACGTGGAGATGGCAGTAGAAAATGATGTAGGCCGATGCGGACCAGTGTCCACTATATACAATGCCACCACCTCTGCTGTGTGTAAAGACATCATGTATCCGTTTGTAAGTATCTAGTATTTTGTAATTTAACTGCCTTCAAATTAAACTGATAAGTATTATTGTGCTGATAGTACAACTAGCTCTTATAGGTTCAACAATATTTACTATGAGGAAATTGAAGTAGTATTTGTGGAACTTTAATTTGTATTTGATTTCTAGAAAGGCTGAATGGTGACTCCCTGTTGTTAGCCACACTGCGATGGCATTGCAGGTTTGGAATTGGAATGATAATTGATAATCATAAATGCTTACAGCCCACCAGCAACACATGGACAGAGGACAAACCTAGACTTGACCTGGACAAACTGGAGGAATGGTGTAGAAAATGGCTACTAAAGTTCAACTCAGGAAAGTGTAAAGTAACGAAATTAGGTGAAGAGAGCAGAAGGATAAACACAAGGTACCATCTGGGAGGTGAAATCCTGCAAGAGTCAAATAGAAAGATCTGGGGGTTGATATCACACCGATCCTGTCCCTAGAGGCCCACATCAAAAGGATATCATCAGCGGCATATGCTAGGTTGGCCAACATAGGAACTGCCTTTAGAAACTTGTGTAAGGAATCATTCATACCACCTATGTCATACCAATCCTGGAATATGCAGCTCCAGCCTAGAGTCAATATCTAGTTAAACACAAGACAGAGTTAGAGAAGATTCAGCGGTATGCCACCAGACTTGTCCCGGAACTGAGAGGTATGAGCTACGAGGAAAGGTTGAAGGAGCTGAACCTCACATCCCTGGAAAACAGAAGAGTAAGGGCAGACATGATAACCACCTACAAAATTCTCGGGGGAATTGACAGGGTGGACAAAGACAAACTCATCAACATGGGTGGAACATGAACAAGGGGACACAGGTGGAAACTTAGTACCCAAATGAGCCACAGAGACATTAGAAAGATTTTTTTCAGTGTCAGAGTAGTTAACAAGTGGAATGCATTAGGCAGTGATGTGGTGGAGGCTGACTCCATACACAGTTTCAAATGTAAGTGCGGTAGAGCCCAGTAGGCTCGGGAATCTGTACACCAGTTGATTGACTGTTGAGAGGCGGGACCAGAGACAAAGCTCAACCCCTGCAAGTACAAATAGGTGAGTACATGGATAAAGGAGGAACTAGATGACAAACAAGAGGGGCCTCATAATGGTCATGAGAGAGATTATAGTAAAAGCAGATAAAAATAAATCACGATTGTTGGTACTGGGGGACTTTAACTTGAAAGCAATAACCTGGGAGCCTACGAAGCAAGAACGGAGGACATTTGGACAGGCAGATTTGTAAACCTCATTCTGGAGATATTAATGTATCAACACATCAAGCAGCCTACAAGAATGAGGGAAAGTGATGTTCCATCAATACAGGATTTAGTATTCATTGGGAAAGAAGATATTTGACATCCAGTACCTTCCTGCTTTGGGAAAGGGTGATCATATCCTTTTGGAAATTAAGTATGCTTTGCGATATAATCTAGAAGAGAATGGGGTGATTGAAACAATTGATAAATTTTATTTAAAGAAAGGACACATTAGGAAACTTAGAAAATTCTTTAAGGATTTTAATTGGACAGACTTGTTGCTAGGCAAGGAAATAAATGAGATGTATGCCAAATTTTGCAAAATATACGACAAAGGCACACAAACATTCGTACCAAAACTGATGCAGAACCCAAAAACAGGATTGGTTCCAGAAGTTGATAGGGCCAGAGAGGAAAAGACAAAAAAATGGGTTCAATATAGAAAGAGGCCTAACCCTTAAACATACCAGCACTACAAGCAAGCAAGAAATAAATGCATAGCAGTGAGGAGAGAGGCAGAAAGGAACTTTTTGAAAGGAATAATGGACATGTAAAACTGATCCAGGCCTTTCCTATAAATTCACTAAAGAAAGTTGCATGTAAAGGATAAAATCCAGAGATTGAGAACGGGGAACAGGACTACTGAGAATGAAAAAGAATTGCGAAAAACTAAATGAACAGTTCCAAAGTGTGTTCAAAAGGAGGATTTCAGAGCTGGACCTAATGCCATTTGAACCAGATGGAGTTTCACCTTGGGTACTGAGAGAATGTGCAACTGAGCTGAGCATTCCACTCTAATAAATGTTTCAGACATCATTGTGCACAGGAATCTTAGCAGATGTATGGAAACAGGCAAACATAGTTCCAATCTATAAAAATGGTAGCCGAGAAGAACCTCTAAATTATAAACCTGTATCATTAACAAGCGTGGTAGTCAAAACACTAGAGAAAAATTAAAACTAAATGGGTAGAACACCTGGATAGTAATCACATAATGAACAGACAGTATAGTTTTCAATAGGAAGATCCTGTGTAACAATTCTACTTCATTTTTATGATAGAGCCACAGAGATTCTACCGGAAAAAGATGGTTGGGTTGACTGTGTCTGTGGACCTAAAAAAGGCCTTTGACAGTGTCCCACACAAGAGGTTGTTCTGGCAACTGGAATATGGTGGTTAATCTTGTTACTGATTCTCTGGTAGACTTAGAGCTGGTTCCATCTGTGAGGTATTTAGTGTCTTCCCGCTGAAGACCCTGAATAGCTCTGCATTCTTTTTCTCCACTCCGGTTGGCCCTTGCTATCTTAGCACTCGCATCTCTTGTTCTTATGGGCTATTGACTATCTTTTTTTTTAGGTAGATTCCTTCACTGAAGTTTGGCCTGTAGTCTATTAGTGTCCTCTTTAGATGTTCCAAGATCCCCTCTTTTTTTTTTTTTTACCATTCACAGCATTTAATTCAGACATCATGGTTCTATCTCTAGTGTTGCATTGTAAACCACAGCATCTTTAGCCATGTCTATCTGGCTGGATCCTAATATCTTAGATACACCAATTCAGTCAGTAGCAGCTCTGCTTCATCCTCTGTAACAATAATACCTGTATGATAAGGTTTTGGAAGTTCCACTCCCCAAGCCTGACTTATTGAGAGTTTGGTCCAGCTGGCTGTTGTACAATGTTGCATATCATTATTTATCTTGTCATTCAAGCCTGATCCCTTCTCTGGTCTAGTCTTATGTCCTCTGGGTCCTCTTTCTAAGTTCTTCAGTCTTTCTTCCATTCTTGAAGGCACTGTCATTTGTCTTTTGTTTGGAGTTTACATAATGAGCATGGCAAAGAGTAGAGCTGAGAAAACAGTTAAATGCAAAATGTTTAGGTGTGATATTTGTGGTAACTTGTGCTTAAGAAAACTGCAGTATAGTTTATTGTAAAAAATATGAATTTAGTACTATTTATATACAGTAAGTAGCTTGTATTGTAGCTTCTTAATTTGTAGTAGTGTATTATATGCTGTAAATAAAAATAATGTACAGTATAAATTGAAAATTTTTATTTTACAGAATGGCTTCTGGGCAAGTGTGGGCTGGGTCTTCTTTTTCTTCTTGCCGGCTATGATTCTGGCCGTTCAGTTGTCATCCTTGTACCGAAAGACTGAACCATACCCAGGACCTCTTAATGAATCGTAAGTTTTAAGATGATTATTATTACCTGATAATTTGCATCCCCGGTTTGTTGCTTGTATGGGAATAAAGATTTGTCAGCATCCTTGATATTAATGACATTAATTAATGCTAGTGTTTGATGAAAAGTAAAGCATACTAACCCAGATCTTTTGCATCTCAGTAATTTTCATAAAGTGAACAAGTCATCCAGATTTGTTCGTGATATTATGGTCTGGAAATACAGTATATGGATGATGGTTTATAAAGATCAAGGGTGTCTCATAGTTTTTCTTACGATAATATATATCCAGCTTTTGGTTGTTTAGGAGCTTGCCAGTCTTAGGAAAGTATAGCATATGCATTATTTTGTGATGTAGGGAAATCTTATTCTGTTAGTAATTACTTGATTGCTGAAGTATTTTACGAAAGGCTTTAGTAGTCATGGGTGACATGATGTTTTCTAGCAAGAAATTAGTGAACCGGTCACACTTAAACCTTAGATCTCGTATGGGCTAGCATGTCCTCCTAGGAGGATGACACTTGGTTTATATATTGTTAGTGCTTAAAATTTTGTAGGAAATTGACAAGAAATCAAGGTATTGATAGTGACCTTACTTTTTATGTTGACGGTTTGACTGTTATTCTAAGCTGCAGGCAGTGAAAAAGAGCTGTATACTGATTTAAAAAATTAATTATATTATCTGTACCTCCTTTCCTGTAAGAAATTGGGTGGATCTAAGACAGTGCAGCTCCTCTTCTAACTCGTGTGTATCATCAACTTGTGTACAGTGAGTCGGAGTGAGCAGTTTTTCACATTTAGTGCTTCATTATTTTCACTGGGCTAAATTGATTTGTCTTACAAGATCTTCACTTTCACCCATTCTCAGTCTTAGAATGTTTTCACAGCAAATTATTGTGTAGCAATCCATTCCTCTAAACAACTCATTCACAGCAACTTATTTGGGGTTTACCCTCCATTTTCCTTCATAATGGTATCATTTGTTCTCATATCTGTCCTTCCTCTTCTCACATCTCTCTCGACAATATCCTCACCTTACAAAACATTCTTGTATATCTTTTCCTTAACCCCTTAACTGCGCGGCCTCCAAATATGACACCCCCCCCCCCCAGTGCACAGGAAATAAAATCTCTGGAAAAACACTTTTTCTGTTTTTAAAGTGCCAAAAACCCTTCCCTGAGTAAGGGTATAGTAACAGAAGGTTGAAATTGTAAGTACTTTATCTGCTATGGGGTCTGTAAGTTCGTGCCCTACCGGTCGCCCGTGGCATACGCCCCCGGGGCCGGTAGGGCACTCGGGGCAGGATGCTCGAGTTGCCGCGAATATATTTTTCATTCTTTGTGCACAGTTCCAAATACATTTTATATGCTTTTACATGCCAATCCTATGTATAATGAACACGTACACTATATTATGGCAGTAGAACATCCGTACTGTCCGAAGACACTGTGTTACGTGCATGACACGTGTACACATATCTGCCACATATTTCCATTGTATTATGCTAATTTATGTATATATACAATCTATTTACACACTATACACTATCACACACTATATACATTCACCATGAACATACTCAGAACTCTGCGAGTGTCAGCTGCCACACCCTCACTCCTCCAACATCCAGTCTCTCCCTCACCCCTCCAACATCTTACTTGCCAACATTGCTCCTCCCACCATACTGTTATTGTTTGTATTACACTATTTACACATGTTATGTATACCTATCTACATGTTTTATTCACCAGAACTATGCAAGTAAGCTGGTATTGTGTCCAAACTTTACAGTGGCCACCATACACTGCATGAGAAATCACACAGCAGCCAGCAGACGACACTGCGATTACATCACCTCCCTCACCAAAATAGCTCCTCCCAACGTACTCCTGTTGCTACACTATATACACACATTGTATATACCCATGTACAAATGTGTTCACCATAGCGAACCACTAAGCTAGTATGATGAGCAAAATACCCGGAGGGACGTAGCGCACCCCAGACGTGGGCCTGCAGGCGCGTTGCGCAGTTAAAGGGTTAACCTGCCACAATCTGTGCCAAAAATTCTATGCTTTGTGCACTTTTCATCTCAACTGTCTAACAGGTGTTAGAATCAGAACTGGTGTGTGGAAACCTGGTTCACTCCGCAGTCTATTGATTCACCATGGTTCTTAACACCTGCACATTGTCAACATTTACACACACCCTTTACACACATCCTTTCCACTTTGCACATTGAATAATGAAATTAAAATAAATATGCCTTACCATTGTGCTGGTCTGGTGCAGTCACATGGTTGTGCTAATATGCCAAACTTAACACTGCCAGCTGCATGCAGCAGTGAGTTTGTGTTTAGATTTATGTGCTGACATTATTAACTCATTATATAGTAATTTGTGCATATTGAAATTCAAATGAATTCTTATTATAAATTACTATATATATGGGGGAGAGACTTCGTGATTTTCATCTCAAATATTGGAGGGACTGTTCCAAATCTGCATTCTGAAATCATTCCTTAAGCAACCAAGAAGCACTGCAGAATGTACAAAATAACCCTATTGAAAATGAGGGGTGCAAAAGTACTAGAGACAATTGAATAAACATTAGAGGCCCAAGGCTTTTCAAATTTTTTTTAAATACAAGGGGCATAACTAGCTAGCTCCCTTGGCATTCATGTGGAAACTTTAAGGTTCCTCCAAAGCAAAAGTTAGTTTGATAAACTTGGTTTATAAAACTATGGTTCCTAAGTCAAACTGAGTGCAGCGATGTTCAGTAGCCTGATCGACCAGGTTGACCAACCAGGTCATCGGGGAGCAGGTACAAGAAGGAGAAGTAGAAAAAAAAATAGTGTTGACTGGTTTTAGTTCACTTTGACCCATTCATTCTCTTATCGTTTGACAATAAACTAAGGAATACTGATGCATATAGAAGACAAGTGTTCCTGAACAGGGGCATATTTAACAATGAGTGAGACCAAAATTGTAAGCAGAAAAGATGCTCCAAGATCCCATGGGAGCAAGAGTTGCAGGATAACAAGAAGCCCTGGACAGCATGCACCATGGATGCTCTGAAACAAACTTCATGCCCCACCATCCTAGCACTAACTAGCCCAAGAATATCACTTGGCAGCAAACAAAAGCACTAATTCACAAGCACAATGAACGGGATTCATTCCATGCTACATGACTGAAGATATCACAAATATGTGAGAAACTCTGAAGATACAGTAACTAATGCCATACTTCATTGTAATAAAATAGTTGATAGTGAATGCATTTATTCCAAAGGCGACATCACCCTATTAAAACGTACAAGAGTTGAAGGGAAGGGCACTTGTACAGTTTCAATGGAATTTTGACAGTAATTGAGGAAGAGGTGGCCAATTGACAGGACTTCATCATAGACATAGAAAAAATAGACGGAGGGATAGTAGTATCAGCCATATATAGTACTGTAGAACCCTTCACCAAACAATAGGAGGCCAATGAAAGAAAATGATAAAAGCAACATATTGGGGTCATGTTGAGGCAGCAATGATAACACAAGATGAGAAAATTCCTGGTCTATGGATATTTTAGTCAGAGAATTTGACTGGATAATGAAGAATGCCTATAGAGGAGTAAAGTTGATCGACAGTACAGGTAAGTAGTGGTGATGGGGTTTTCTAATTCCCAGAGAATTGTACTGTTTTTGTTGAGCATCAAGGCACTCTGACCCAGTTCCTCCTGTTATACTGCTGTTCTTAGGATAATGTTAGCCAGCACCCTGTTTGGGGCAAAAGGGAAAACAGACAAATCAGCAATGCAGGCAACTTTTGCAAGGATTAGACAAAGAATTGAGATTGACCATTTGATACAAATAGCTTTAAAGACAAGGTGCAAGAGAGAATAATTTATTGTAAACTTAACACTATCGCTAACTTTGGACACCGATCACGTCCATTTTTTTTCTCTTAAGAGTCCTAGCCGTGGACAGGACTCGCGTCCACTACAAAAATATTTGTATAAAATTCATTTTTTGTCTGATCGACCTCAGGATAGTTTCAAAATAAGTGCCATTAGAATGCGCAGAATTTGATACCAAAATGAAAGATGTAACACGAAACTTGATGTCAGAACACTTGGAAGATTATAAATACGTTTTTGGGTCTAAATTTTAAATTTGAAAATATTTGTTAAGCTTCTATTTATTGTGCTATTATTATGAGACTATTTTTAAAATGCACACCTTTATATTGTGAACAATTTGATACCAAAATGAGCGATGTAACATGAAAATTTGTTATCAAACTGAACGAGTATACACATTAGGTTGTGGTGTGCAAATTGGTGCTCATTCACAGGTAACTTTAGGCTTTGCTGCTGGGAGTCTCGCCAGGCTTTTGGACATTATATGATATACATCTGCAGGGAATTTATTTGCGAACACAATGATACCAAAACGAACGACGTAGCACAAGAATTAAGGTGAGAAAACTGAAACGAGTATACACATTTAGGCGTCGCCGCATGCTCGCCCACACCATTAGCCCCATGACGTCAAAGTCTGTGATGCGCGAGTGGAGCAGGCGATACTGTTAATAATTGAACAAATAATGTGCCAGTAATCCTTGATACTGTTCCCATAGAACTGATAAAAAAATGGAGAAGCAGGCTGTAATAGACGAGAACGTATTAAACTGGGTAGTGTAATGCCTGACACAGGAAGCACATAGTTGTAGAGAGTGGGACTGTGAGGGTGGAAGAAAGTGGTAAGTGGTTTCCCACTGGACTTAGTTCTTGGATCCTTATTGCTGCTTATATGAATGATATGCCCAGCAAGGTCAAGGACCAGTTGTAAATGATGGCAAAACCAATGAAAGGTAGTGACTGAACAAGATTGCATGATCATACCGGGGGACCTAAACTAGCTATAAGCTTGGCAAGTGAAAATGGTTGCTTAGAGTGCAGTGCTAACAAGTATAAAGTAATATGTTTGTTAGTAGCAATAATAGG